CTGTGCACAAATGAAGCTGATTCGATTTCTGCGTTTTTTTGGGTTGCCACTGCTGGTGAACCATAACGCATCAACATAACGCCCATAATCCGACCAAAAGGGGGGTTACATAGTATCCTTATTGAGGCTTCCGGTCCGCGCAACCCCTCATTATAACCATTAATAGCAACAATAAATCTGAACCTGAACGAGTGTATCATAACACACATCGAAATACCCCACACCGGACACCCACAACAATATAGGATCCTTTTTAGATTTAGATTAGAAAACCTGCAATGGAAAGCGCCGCAATGAAATTACAGTTTTGGAATATTCAAGACATGGTCAAAGTGCCCCCCCACATCTGTCTCTGCGTCCTATGTAGACTGCAGCGGCGCCCCCGGATCCAATCGAGTATATGCCGATTCGAACAAAGGTGTAGCCCATCCCCCAACCCTGCCTCAATATGGGATCCTGAACCCTCTCCCCAGAATTCCACACTAGAGCCAGCACTATATCCCAGTGTTTTCATGCTGATATAAACGATATGCCTGGAAGCATGCGTGCCTCCTCACGCCGAGCACATTCGTGCATGCGTTTAATAAGAACCCAACATACTGGGCCAGAGGGCCGCAAATATCTGGCAGAGGGGCGTGGGGAGTGGCAGTTAATTTGCATTTAAAGCTACAGACACAGAATCGGCACTTTTGAAACAGGGCTGAAACAGAGGGGATAATGGCATGCTACAATGCATGGTCTGTTTGGTATTTGGAGCCAAACACTTCAGAGACATGTTTGTATATATCTGAGACCTATAATATATTATTGGAAAAGAGTCAAATAGGGGACCTTTAACACACATCATGTTGCTCAGTTTACCTGTTCCAGGGTTGTATGCGACGGTGTTTGTGAAGACCTTCTTATAGGTCAGTGTGATGTCAGCGTTGAAAGGTCCAACATCTCCAACGGGACCTAAAGATGCTCCAAATGCCACACGCTGACCTTGAAAGGTTACATAAAAACATTTGTTTAAAAAGTGTCATCAAGTTGAAAACAATGCAAGCCATGCCTAAAATAAATGAAAACATAGTGTCCATTTACTTTATATTCTTACCTTGATCTGCCCTCAGATCCTCTACTTGTTTCTCAGTGTCTTTCAGTTTGGCCTCCAGCTCTCTTAATATGTCATCATTCTTCTGGCAGTTTTTCTGGCTCTTTATGGTGTTAGGGAAGAGTGAAGAAAAGATCTCACATATCTAGGCACTGAAATAGACTAAATGCTCTGCCCCTCACACTGTACACTGTGTGGGAGGACACAGCAGACACAGAGGTGCTCTCAGTCCCCCCACATTCATCCACTTTATTATCTCCATTTCACGAGATACGCTTAGGCCAATGAATTAAATATGTGTGCATCCACTTTGTGATTATTTCTATAAGGCTGGGTATTTATATTCTAGGTGAAAAAAATGATAATCTACAGATCTAACTTAATCAGACTTTACGCTGATCAGGCCTTAATGCTGATGTCAAACTGAAATGTTTCCTTGGATACTGATGCTGTATCCTCTCTGTCCTCCAGAAGGCAGGCAAGTACAACTGAGGAAAATAAAAGCTGTGCAGTCCTATCAATATGCTTCCATTCAAGCAGCCTTTAATAAAGCATTTCAGGATTCTTTAAACTGTAGATCTGTGCTTACATCTATAAACCAACCTCCTCTTAAATGAAATCCTGTGAACAAGTGTTTTTATAATTGAGAAATAAAACAATAAATCATGAATAGTTCATAGTGTGAAATCAATATATATTTTGGATTTTAAAAATTGGTGCGTCGATTATATATGGATTGTGGCTGATTTTATTTACACTGGTAGAAGATCACATTTACTTTGTACAATGTTGAGGTACTTCCTATGTTATGCAACGTTATGCTACATTTCTGAGTTAAATATTTTCCTTTTTTTCCTTTGCCCGGTTATTTGATACTTTTAGTTACTTTGCAGATTAAGATGATTGATACAAAATATCAATCAATCAACTAATCAATTATGATGTTTTATGATACATTAAGCTTCCCATCAGTATTTGGACTAATTACACAAAATTACTCTACCTTAAACTGCTACAACATTGAAGTGATGAACACATAAATACCTCAATAATTATAATCCAACAACATGATATAGATGTCTCTGAAACTGGCTATTTTGCCAAATGTATTCCTATTACTTTTTGTTATTTAATTTTTTATAAAGCTGATACTTTTATAATTTTACTTCAGTCACATCGTGAATGACACGACACATTTTTCGAGGGGTAAATTCACAAGTTAACAAACCATATATAAAGTTTTATATAAATATATAGATACAATTATTATGAAATAGGTTATCCTCCAAATTGAATTCTATAAGTATGTTTTGATGCTAATTAATTTACACTTTTACTTATTTGTAACAACGTACTTCTACACTGTAGTTTTGGATTTTGTCTAACATTTTAGTGCAGATGTGTGAGAAGATAGTTTTTTGTTCTCATGTCTTTCTTGAAAAGAGACATCATTGTCAACAAAACCGCCTGCTTGCGTATACTTCAACATTACAAGATTTTCTGCAGCATTTAGGTCATGTATTATAGGAAATACCAACTACTGTGTCTTTTCTTACCGGTCATCTGCTTGTGATCCATCAACTCTTTTTCAGTTTTTGTCAGTCTGGCCTCCATCTCTTCAATTTTGTTGTCAATGTTTGTCCGTAGATAAGGGCTGTGTGCCTGGTACACAGGCAGGTAGAGGAGGCACAGAGCCAATGCAGCAACCAAAGTCTTCATATTTTAGTCTTCCTTGACCTGTACTTAATCAACAATGCTTTATATACCAGAGGAAATGTTCTTGCTTTTGCACAAGTTTACTTCTCCGATGTTCCAGTAAGTCTATCGTGTTCCCATAACCTGGCTGCGTTCCCTTTTTTAGTCATCATTTACATTTTTCAATAAGGAAACAAAAAAGTAAGAAATGCTACGGACAATCAAACGCTGACCTAAATACCCCTCTTGCTTTGTTTGGCTTGCCTCACAGACAAGCAGGTTTCTCCGGGTGGAGCCACCAGGAACAGAAACAAACGCTGCTTTTATGTTTCAGCTGGTTCCCTGTCCTGTTTAATTCCTAATGCTTTCATCACCTCCTGATATGGACGAGCAGGGGCGCCGTAAGGGGGTGAAAAGTTAGGACGATTCTAAGGGCCCGTGACTGACGGGGGCCCCAAAATGTTTAGAACATTAAGACATTTTCTTTTAAGTAACCTTTCATCAATCCTCAATAATTAACATTAAAAGAACGTTATATTGATAAAGTACTCACTAAACTTACGATTAATTTAACTTATTTTCTTCCAAAAGTTAATTATCCAAAGCCTCTGTACACCCCCTTCTATTTACATGTAATGGTTTGGTCCTGCCTCCAAACGCGGTGCAGCACCGGCACTTGCAGAGAGTGAAAACATGTGAGGAGGGATGCTAGCCTAGTACTTAGCCTACACTTGTGTTGTACGATGTCTCAACGACTCAAAAAGTCAGGCTCTAAGAAAAGAAGAGAAAGGAGAGAAAGACAAGAGAGAGGGACTAAAGGGCGACAGTATGTCATCCAGTTTTGCACAAGAAAAGGTATGGTCCATGAGTGGTGGAAATTATTCTGTTAGCTAATGTTTTGTTTTTACTAAGCTGACATTAAGTAGACTATTGTTAATATCTTTACAGAAAATTCAGAGGTTTTTCATTTCACTGCTCTTTTAGCTGACATTTAAAGGTAGGGTAGGTAATTCACTTCAGAATCACTTTTTGTTATATTTCATGGAATGCTCTTAACATCCCGATAGCAATGAATATATTAAATGCTTTGACAATAAATACATACAAACATTTCATCTGTGGAAGCCGTGGTGCTGTAAAAAGCACGACCAATCATCTGAGCCGGTCCGGCTAAAATAACTGGATGGCCTACCTGCCTGTCAGCCTTCTTCTTCTTCTTCTTTAGTGTTTATTGGCGGTTGGCAAACCAAATTTTAGGTGCATTACCGCCACCAACTGGACTGGAGTATGGACAAGAGACTATGCAGAAAACNTTCACGAAACAAAGCTTCCCAAACCTTTCAGCGATTCATGCCAGATATGTACAGCGTGGGCACTGAAGAACGATGCTGTTCCTACTTTGTTTGTACTAGCTGGAGCTAGTACAAACAAAGTAGGAACAGCATCGTTCTTCAGTGCCCACGCTGTACATATCTGGCATGAATCGCTGAAAGGTTTGGGAAGCTTTGTTTCGTGAAATGCCAGCAGAGGGTGTGGCCTCTGGGTATCCCCACGTCAGAGTACCCAGGAAGAAAATGAGAAATCTCCAACGAGGCGTTTTGGGGAGGTCTTTTCTGTGTGACTTTTATTCGCTACAGGGTGTACTTTGAGGGTTTTTGAATCTGCAGACCGTTTACATGCATAAAAACCTTCATAACACACAAGGGGACGGGTAATAACCGGAAAAGCATGACATGGGACCTTTAAGTGTTTATTTGGCGGTTGGCAAACCACTTTAGTGATAGCTTTGTTCGTTATTCTCGCTTCCAGGAGAGAAGCTTTAAAAATAAGGAGAGACTAATGGAGCCTCTGAGAAGGTTCAAATGGGTACTTTAATTAAAAAAGGCGCGGTAATGTTACAAGCAGAATATTGTTCAGTAAGAAAAACAGCTGTGTTCTCAGGCTCTTGAGAGCGTAGGAAGAGAGCCAGAACCACTCTTCCAGCTGTTAAATATCCTCTGCTGGCTCCTCCCTGTGGGCCGGTTGGCGCTGCCGGTGTCGGTACCAGATGTGTTCGGGGTACCATATGTGTTCGGGGTCCGTCTCTTACCAGTGACGTCACGACGTCACGACGTAATGACGTCAATGACGTCACGCATTGTGATTGGCTGTACGGTAATTTACCCACGCTGTCTAGAGTATAGAGGGGTTTTTTGATCATTACATTACATTGCATTTAGCTGACGCTTAAGTGCACTCGACCAACAAGATAAAAACTTGAAGAAATACAATAAAACTTGAAGAAAAACAAAGACGAATGAGGAGAAGAACAAGAGAAATTGAAGGTAAGAAGTATATANTCTAAATACAGACTGAGAAACACACCTACATATAACACTCACACACACACACACACACGCACACACACACGTCTCACACACACACACGTCACACACACACACACACACACACACACACACACACACACACACACACACACACACACACACACACACACACACACACACACACACACACACACACATGCACACACACA